ATCTTCTTCAGCCATTTATGATTATGTAAAAGTACAATAACTGGATGATATTTGCGTGATTCGGCGATAAAAAGGAAACAAGACGGCAAAATATGGCTGAAATCGCGTTTTCGTGGGGGGTAAGTTAAATAAAATGTATTATATTTAAAGAAAACAATGACAATCCTTATGAAATCAACAATATTTATATTAAATTAAGCATAGCTTTTAACGCCATGATAATTTTTTTTAGGAAATAAGAATATTTAATTTCTGCCTGGCATATTAGTTATTTTATGCATAATCAGCAATTTACCTGGGGTGGTGCATGGTCATTTTCTTGTAAAATATTATACTTAGACAAATTTTTCTTCCAATGACCACCCCTAAAAGCAACCCTTCTAAACACTATAAGCACTTCAGAAAGACTATCGCTTTTTGTTTTCTGAAGTTAGAGCTATGTCGACACTGCCGTTTAAGGGCGGGGTCATTTTCAGCACTTTCGTCCCGGATTCAGCTTTTGGCACATATGCCATGTTGACCGCCATGGTCATTTTACCCTAAAACAGTTGAGATTACCTGTGCTAAATGAAATGCATACAAACTCATATACAGGTCCTAGACTTAAGCTAAACGTGATTATTATATATCAATAGTCAAAGTCGCATTTTTCTAGTGTTTTATTGGTTGAGAGCAAAACATCGACGGTCTCGGGTCCACAAAACACACTGTTTCCCTCGGTCTCAGTAGTGATAATTGGCTAATTTGTGGTCACATGGATTTAAATGTATCCCGCCGGGCAACAAGTGAATGTTAAACGCTCAAAATGGACTAAAAAATTTAGAAAGTTTTTCCACTTTTACGAAAAGAATACAGTATCTAATAACAAAGAAGGAAAATACTCAACAGGAAATGCTGCTGAAACGCTTTTTACCGACAAAGATTGTTGGTGTAAATCCCATTACCAGTGATCTAAATTCCATGCATCATTTTCCCTTGTAATATCTAGCAAATCGTTTGATCTGTTACCCCGATTTCATCAATGTTTGAATGTAATCTTCACTGGTGTTTTAAACAAAAACATTCACAAAACAATTATATTTCATGAATAGAACTCTTTAATGTGAATGATTTTAACAATAAAGGAACTTGCTGATTTGGCAAATCAGTGGATGACATACGTGATGGGAGTTTTTAATAAAACAAAGTTTAATAAAACAAAGTAATTATGTTTATAGCACGACGTTCCCGGCTTTGGTTGGTTACACGAAATGCCATCAACTTTTACTTTATAAAGAGATGAAGCCTCTCGTGCAGTTTCCTTGCTTACAAAGGCAATTAAGATATTTTATAACTCACTAGCGGGAAAATATCCTGTTGTACCCCGGTTAAATACATCATTAATAAAGTGTTATTTTCCGCTGGCCAAGGCACGAAAGAAACGGAAAATGTTTTCTCACACACTGCTGGGGGGCCGATAGAAATAGGACATTATCGTGTGGTGTTGTTACGGCTGATGTTGCAGGAGCTCCGAGCGGTGTGTGAGAAGTGTATTTTGACCTTTGCTTTGAGGGAAAGATTTGATGTTTAGACGGAATGTCAAAAATTGGGAAATTTAAACAATTACGTCATGCTGGTAATGCATCATTAGTCAGAAGGTCAAAACCGCGGTCAAAGTCTTTGTTGCATGGTTGGTCACTTAGAAACAACGCACTCAGAGTGAACATTTTCGCTTTCAGAAACACAGAGTACTTTCATTTTGGGTATAGATAGAACTTGTACTGCCAACGTACGGCATTTTGTTCGGAGACCAGTTGTACAAAGAACATTGGAACTATAACTTCGCACGACTGGAAACGATTGGTGCTATTACAAGTCAACACACCGAGATACAGTATAAGATTGAAGTGGTTGGTACCAGTTAAGATTATTCTCGAATCTAAAGTGTATTCATTAAAGGACTAAGGTTAGTATTATTATTTTCACTTCTATTGTGGTCACCCATTCATGAAATGTAAAAATAGCTTATCAATGTTAAACTGTCTGTATCAGTTAATATGAACATGCTTTCGTTGGTAGGGATGATGCAACTACCTGAAAACTATAAGGAGAATTTCGACGTTTCGAGCGAAGGCCCTTTGTCTGGAGTTACTAGCGCTAATACCTCCAGACGAAGGGCCTTCGCTACAAAAGTCGAAATTCTCCTTATATTTTTCAGGTAGTTGCATCTTTATCAATATTATATTGTTAGGGAATCGTGGGTTTGGTTCGAGTTTGGTAAAGTAGCAAAGAAGAAGTTAAGATTTAACGCGAAGATATGCAGTATAATGTAATACCAAGCTCTTGGAAATTTTTAATGACATAATGCTTTCGTTTTTAGTACTCGTGGCTTACCAACTAATTAACTAAGTTATTTATACTTGATCTTGCGGAGGTTTAAGCAGAGTGGATATAATTATGCGCGAAACTATACCCCAAGTACTGAAATTGTCATGTTATACATTCGAGATTCATACAATGGAAATTCCCAATTCTAAATCAAAACTTCATTTGTACATTTATCATTCCTCGCTAAAAATTAATTTATACATTGCATATTTGCAGCCATGGTGGACTCAAATTCAACTTTTTGCGATCTTCCTTATTCGTCATCCGTCGCTATAGCAACAATCAATGCAATATTTTGTGTGTTGGGTATTATTGGTAACAGTCTGGTGTTGGTAGCTGTGTACAGAACCATGGAACTTCATACATTAAGTAATCTTTATTTGGTTGCATTAGCTATCGCTGATTTTCTCACGAGCGCCATAGTACAGCCTTTGTTAATTGTCATGGTAATCCAAGAAAGCAAGGGGGAGTGCAACAAAACATTGGAAACAGTGTTTCGAAGTGTAGGAAATTTCTCTGCTGCAGCTTCTTTTCTTATTTTACTGTTCATTACAACGGAACGTCTACTTGCAGTCTTAAAACCAATCCTGTATAAAAACTTTCATCCCAAACGAAGGTTTGTGGTTTTCATTAGTATCAGCGTGATACTTCCTTTGATCTACACTATCCTGCGTGTCGCAGTGAGCAAGAAAGCTACATCTTATTTTTCTGCAATATTATTTGTGCTCGGGTACATCTATATAGCAGCATGTTATCTTATAATTCTGCTTCAGTTACGCAGACAAAGTAGGAAGATGGAAAGATCAACTAGCATACCTCATGGAGAAGATACTAGGTCGACACGACATGCTGAGAAGGCGGTCACTTCAACTATGGCATTAATTATTGGTATCTTTACAATAATGTGGGGACCATTCTTTTATTATCGTATCTCGCAACCTTCCACTAATAGCGGCGAGGGTTATAACTGGGTTCGAACAATGGCAATTAGTAATTCAGCTCTAAATTTCATCGTGTATGCTTTCCGAATGAAGAGATTTCGAAATGCATTCAAAACCACCATATCTGACAGTATCCATTCGCTGTTACGAACATCGAGCACTGCTATTAATGCTCAAAACTGAACTTGTATATATTGGCAAGTGGAAACACAATGCTGCTGCAAGATAACACCTTTTGTGATAACATTGAAATATGTTTAAACTTGCTACTATGCAATGTTTTCATTTTATTATTTTAACCAATACAAACAAACGTTTCCGTGTAGCTTCTTGATTTCAACATCAACAACATCAACAAGGTAGCGACGTAGTCCAAGGTAAAGGTCATGCAAGAATAATTTTACCACTAAACGAAACTAAACGACGAAATTTCGTAATTGGCAACATTTCGTAATTGGAAATGTAAAATGGGGGGAATGTCAGGCAGTAAAGTTTTACTTTCTTAATATCAAAAGACCTATACTCGAATAATAAAATGTCCTTTTATAAAATGTCCTTTTATTTACCGTAATAAGAAACACAAACCAGAGGAGATCATTGACTCGATTCCAAATAAGCAATCACAAATTAATGATTGAATGTGGTAGATACCACAACATTTCCCGAAAAGAACGATATGTAAGCTTTGTAAATCAAACGAAATAGAAAATGAGGAACACTTTCTTATTTCATGTGATGCCTACGACAATATTAGGCAAGACTTCCTCACTGTTCTCGCCAACAATACATACCAAAGAGAACAAAATCTATCAGTTGACATATTAAAGTCAACTGAAAATGAAACGATTCTAAAACTATCCAAGTTTGTTCTTTCCTGTTTCGAGCTAAGAGATAAACGCCTTGAAACCAGGGATGCTGAACACTAAAGTTCAATATTATCGTATTTGACTGCTATCTTGTAAATAGCTTCTTTACCTTATTGTAATCTTGTAATAGGTCGTATTTAGCCTATAGTAGTTACCTTTAGTTTGTATGTTTAGTTATTGTAGTTAAAGCTTTAGCAATACCTGTAACTGTTGGTCATGCTAATAAAGTTATTATACAGCTACTGCGTTTGACTCGTGCACCTTCTGTCAAAACAGATATGTAATTTTCACCGAGTTGCACAAACACTTTTTATATATAATAATTGCACAACACTTTTTTATTTGAGAAAGTTTGCTTTGAATTGCATATAGACTATATAGATATATCAGTTTATACTCCTATTTGACACGTTTTCTTGTGCAATTGTGTAACTTATTTACGATAATGTAAGTAACCTTGATTTTAATGTATGCATTGATATATCTTCTTCATATTATGGAAGCTATGGAAATGACCAAATAGGGTAATGTCTAAAAGGGATGGACGAGAGGTAGTTTACGAGATGGTTCCAACATTGAAATAAGAGTTTGCGTTAGTATTAGGGTCAGTGTGGGGGTTAGGGTTAGGTGTGGGGTAAGGTTTAGTATTGTTGCAAGTGTTTGGTTGTTGATTCTTTTACGTTTTAATGATCTTAAAAACTGATGGCCATCTTGAAAATCTGCCTCTAGTCCATCCCTTTTCACGACCATGGAAATAGGTATTGAATTTTTTTTATAATCTCAGTCATCAAAAATTCAAGATTTATAAGCCAATCATACTGTTGTATCAGGGTCACACGATGACAACTCAATTCAGGGGGGTTAGGGTTAGGGGGGGATCTAAAATTCCTCGTCAGAGCCCGGAACCTCGCAGTCAATGTAAAGCACCAAAATTAAGTCACGTGAAATCGACTGTAATAACATTTTACACATATTGCTTGCATTTACAACCTTATTTATAAATATATACAACTATATACAAACGTGTCAAGAAACAATCCTACCCCAATTTCCACATTTTCATTTCACTCTTAAATAGTCTTACCATCAGAAAAATATTATCTCTCACTGATAGTTCTGTTTACCAAATGTTTTGACTGTAACTGCGAACTCTTTCCTGTCGATATATCGCTCGTAATATCCACCAAACGTCCACAAAACGTCTAAAATAAAAATCACGTCAATTGGGATATTTGAACAAATTGTTAAAATATTGATGTCGTAACATGGAATCAATTTCGGATATTTGTCTTTCTTTCGGAAATCAAGTTTCGCTCCATGACCATGATCAGTTTTGATCAACCTATAATTTCTGATGTTAGAGATCGACCAAATGTTGAGGAAATAAACAAATCAAAAACGAATTTCCAGTACGTGAATATATTCCAGTGAACTGAAATTTGACATGCGCAAAAGACTGTTTGATTGATTATTGTTCTGTTCAATAATTTCAATTTATACTATAATTTTCGAGCGGAAACAATTGCGTACTGGAAAACCGCCTTTAGAGAGACTTCATTCGACTACCAAAAATTTATCAACAGTCTTCTGAAGGACAATTTCGTTGAACAATTATTAATCACGATTCTCAACATGCATACAAGTATGTTGTCAACCTCGTTCCCAAAGATCCTAGGTACGAGGTTGGTATGTTGTGAGGTATGCCGCTGAACAAACATGATTGCATACTCACTGTAGTTGTGATGTTAGATTGCAGGGTTGTTAGAACTTCATCCCTGTAATAAGAACACAAAAAGTTTTAGAGTAGCTCCGCCTCACACTGGAACTGAATGTTCATGTAAACTGCATTATTCTACGATGCAATAACAGACCTGAACAGCTAGTGGATGCTTATGCGTTACCAACCACGCTAATTTCAATAACTCTCATGGTTACAAGTGGTTTGGTAATGTAGGCATCGGATTCATGACAATGGGAATAAAGATACGTTAGCTGATCAGTTCTCCATCGAGAAAATGAATGAAACATATATACTTACTCTTCATCTTCAGTGGTAGTATAAAGTCGAGATGATTCAATATCCGTCAGTTGTTTTTCTTTACTTGCCTAATCAAGTAAACCATCCGATCAATTTCCATATATCTAATCCCTAAACCATAAGCCTTATCCCAATCATAACTAAGTCCCATGCTAATCTAAGGGCGCTTTCCATTTAATGGCCTGACCGGTCAGATCCGAATTTTTGTCTCTGTATCATTGGAAAAATCTCGTCTACGTTTCTCAAATATCTAGCGAAATGGACCTCATTTTAATTTTATCTAAATTTTCCGGTCAGATTAGATTCGTCCAAAGCCCAAACGTTTTGTGTTCCATTCAACAATTTGACCGTTCTGACCGGTCTGGCCGTGTTAATGGAAAGCCCCCTAATGCCAACCTAAGCCTTACCCTATGAATGCGAATTCTAATACTAAGCATAATCCTAACCCTAATCCTTGCCCTAGTCCCAACCTTAATCTAATATGTCGTAAAACTATGCACTGCCTGCGTTATGCCCATAGATGGTTATGCCTCGGCGACAACTCGTTATCAATTCCCGCCAAAATCCTGATTGCCCACCACTTGACATTCCTCCGACTTTTTCAGCCCTTCCCAATGTGTTGTGGGATATATTGAGCTGGTGCGTCGGAAAAGCGTTTTTCTGATTTTTAGAATTCCCACCTACATATCGAAAATTGTCGCAGGCACGACACAGTACACCCCCGTCTTTCCGCCAAAATGCCAGGAAAGTTGACCTCGAGTTAACTTTCACGGCATACCGGCGATAGAAATGGTGACTGCCTGTGATACCGGCCACGAATCGGCGATGAGTGTTCTTAAAGGTTCTTTTGCAATGCTGGATGAAAGCACTAAGCTTGCGAGTTACTACCATGCACAAGTACAGTGGCCAGCTATACAATACCGCAGGAATATGTGAACCAGGCTTTACGCTTCTTAGGGGATTTACGCGGTATAGTTTTAAATATGGGACATGTGCATTATCACTGTGTTGCATTTTTACTAAAAACATTTAATATGCATGAAATATATAGACAAATACCTTGAGCACGCTGTAATCTGATGTTCTGTTAACGTAGTCATAAAAGTCGTTGAAAGCTTTTTCTCGTTGTTTATGATTTTCAATAATCTAAAGAAAATATATTCGCAAAGGGTTAATCATCAATTCAAACTGTAAAAGTTTCTGTGGCATCACAGTGGTGCCATGTCTCAAACTTTGACACAAACATTTTTTTTTATAAATACGAACTACGATATGTAAACAAGTCTTGAAACTCTACCATCCAAAGTAAGAAAAAGTATGCTTTCAATATAGAAGTTATTCAGATAAATGAACACTTCAGTGATATATCAAAACTTTAGAAAATAAACTTCTATTGATCCCGAAAAGATTTCTGAAAAAATACTTCCATATCTATTTTGGGAATATTGCTTTAAGGTTTTTCGTTAACCTATAGCATTACGATAACCAGCCCCAGAACAATCAATAAATCAAGAGTGGAGCTGGGGAAAATTTGAGCAAAAAATTTCAAAATGGCGGTTCATCAGGAGTGTAAATTATTTATTTTCTTTTACAATTTCATGAGCTTATCAAGTAAACTTCGACATAAATACTTTGGACTGAGCGCAGTGAGTATCCAGAATTAATGCTAGCTAGCAAGTAAAAGAAATGGAAGTACAGTGGGTTTTGAAAGTAAAGGAGTATCCGAAATTAGTACCGGCGGCTCGTGCAATTTTGGCCAAAGTTTCAAACATCACTGTTAAATCCTTAATTAATTCTACTGTACCTATACAAATTCAAAACTTTTAACGCATTCTTCTAAGAGGTGAAAATGGTCGGGTTGGGACAATTTGAAGGCACACAATGTTTACCTTGCTGTAGCAAGCCTGTTCCTCAGTGAGGTCTTGCTGTGTCTGATTCTGTAAAAGTTCTCTTTGAGATGAAATAATACTTGCTGTTCGTTCTTCAAACATTCTCTTCATCTCAGTAAGACAATCAAGGTCAGGAGAAACAGGGCGGACATTTTCACGTTCCAGTTCAACAGATACTTCTTGCCATACTTCAAACATCTGGGAATAAAAAATTCATATCATTGTTTTGCAGTTATACCGTTGTTTATACGCATAACTCTTTACCAGTACCTATACTTTGGTCCGGGCACCAGTTTTATCCTTGTCGGCAAAAAAAGTATATGAACAGGTCTTCTCAGTTCATTTCGGTTCGGAACATTTTTCATTAAAAACAGATCTCGAAGTCATTCAAAATTAAAATTTCTAAAAATGGTATTACTATGGAAACTATGGAAATTGATAAGTCCCTCACAATTATGTTTTAGCCAAATTTTGTACAATTTTTGCAGTTTTCAAATCGTCATGGTAAAAATCAAAACGGTGAAACCGGCCTATCCTCATATTGTCAAAAATTGAAAAAAAAACATTATGTATGCTTAATAATATAGTTATTTCTGTATTTGGTGCTATAGTCCCATGTGCTGTGTCTAATACAACTAGTTTAGCTTCTTTGTATATATTGTAAAATAGCTCATCTTAATTTTATTGAAGGCCATTTGGTAGAATACCTTTTCAGGTAAAAATGTATATTTACCCCCATCAAAATAAAGTTTATTATTATTATTATCCTGTAGTCTGTGGTGTCGACGCACATTCCGCCGCAACTTACATTCCAGTGGGAAAAGGAATATGCGTCTGCATCGCAGACTATACTTGTCCTGTTGTGAGTGGTGACTGACCTTGAATTCGAAATAATTTTCAATGACAGCAAGTGTTACATAGTCCATGGTCGATAATCCAGCAATATCATTGAAACCTAAAATACCAAACAAATTATAAACCATCAGAGGTCAGAAGGCCAATCTTTCAAATTGCTAACATTAACATGACGCTTTATTGTGATATTACTCACCAAGCTTAGAGAAAATCGTGTATATTTTTGCACGAATATTTTCCGAGACTTCTACTATGGCTGGTGATGCGACATCCGCTGGCAGTGGGATAGAACTCACACATCCCATCTGAACTTTACCCATTAATGGTTTATGCAAATCTAAACGAATAATGTAATAAACAATGTAATACAATGTTATGTTTGTGATGTTACTCTGAGTGTATATCCACACCGGACGAGCTTGAAAAATATGCCCGGCCACGGTGGGAATCGAACCTACGACCTTTGGAATACTAGCCCAATGCTCTGCCAACTGAGCTACGCGGTCAGGGCGGTTGGAGTAAGTGATATTTCGGAACAGAATCTAGTTCCTTCGATACCAGTGTAATCAAGTAATATGATTTTTTCTGTGTTGCTGTTGTGTACTCAGGTGAATATGATGTTTGTGATGTTACTCTGAGTGTATATCCACACCGGGCGAGTTAAAAAATATGCCAGACCACGGTGGGATTCGAACCTACGACCTTTGGAATACTAGCCCAATGCTCTGCCAACTGAGCTACGCGGTCAGGACGGTTCGAGTAAGTGATATTTCGGAACAGAATCTAGTTCCTTCGATACCGGTGTAATCTAGTAATATGATTTTTTCTGTGTTGCTGAAAAATCATATTACTAGAAAAAATCGTATTACTAAAAAAAATCATATTACTAGATTACTCTGGTATCGAAGGAACTAGATTCTGTTCCGAAATATCACTTACTCGAACCGACCAGACCACGTAGCTCAGTTGGCAGAGCATTGGGCTAGTATTCCAAAGGTCGTAGGTTCGATTCCCACCGTGGCCGGGCATATTTTTCAAGCTCGTCCGGTGTGGATATACACTCAGAGTAACATCACAACCATCATATTCATCTGAGTACACAACAGCAACACAGAAAAATAATGTAATACAAATAAACAATGTACTTCAAATGGTTGCCAAAACTTAGTCTCCATGACTTAAATATAATTTGTGTATGAAATGCTCAATTTCTGGACCCAAATATTTATGCTATTATTTAGATAAGTCTGTAGCATCTATATAACATTTATAAGCCACTTTTGTCACCTTTAATAAGCCACTGCGGAGTTCTTGCAACACCCAGTGACATCTCATCTTTCCTCCACAAGTCAATGAGGAGTTTTCCTACTGTTATATTAGACTTGCCGCGCCAGGAGTACACATGTGATAGTGCCTGTAGTGTAGAAACGATGAAACTATTGAATTGGTACAATTAATAGCATGTCACCTAGTGGGAGGCGAAGGCGAGAGAAAGAGAGCGAGGAAAACTGGGAGGGGCGAAACCTGGCCCTCTTTCTCTCGCCTTCACCTTCACCCACTAGCTTCTCCCCCCTCCCCTTAATAGCGCCTGGTTGGCTGCGAATCGTTGACCCGATAGCTCAATGAGTAGAGCACCGGTCCAGATACCCGAAGAGTTCGAATCCAGCTCGAGACAACTAAATTTTCGCTGTTCTGTGCTTGAATTGGGGGGGGGGGGGGG